AATTAATTGATTATTTAAATTGTAAAAATCGATTATTATGAATTAATGGATTATTTAAAATTATATAAATCAATTTTTATAAATTAAATGATTATTTTAAATTATTTTCCTCAATTCCAGATCCTGCTACGAAAATATATTCCTGAAAATATGCTCTAAAATCCTATTTTTGATAACAATTAATTATGAACAATACAAATATGATTTTGTATAATAAAAATGATGTTTTAGGCATATAAAACATTATGTGATGCATGACGGTAAGTTAGAGTGTTAACACTCAAAACTAGACCGCTATTTGTTATCAATTGTTATGTTGATTAATGATTATGATGAATGATTATTATGGATGATCATGAATAATGAACTAACTGATCAAAATGATTATTGATAATTCAGCCATGAGAGTAATGAATATATTGATAATTATTAAACGATTTGTATTGTTAAACGGTATCTAGAAGAACTCTAAGATATACCTATTAGTTAATTGATGTTAAGGCTATCTAGAAGACCTCTAGAATAGATATTGTATTAGAACAGGCTTATGAAAACATGAACATTTGATGAATTAGATAAAAACGCATAAATGGGATTCATAGACCAAACTAGAGGATCACTCGTTTGGGAATGCCCGATCTAATGTTCATCAATCGCTATATTGTTGTTGCCTTAACTGACTACAGTTAAGTGTCCGAATCATTTACCTTAAACTAGTGATAGTTTAAGTGTCTGATTGCCTTAACTGACTGCAGTTAAGTGTCCGAAATCGATTGCCTTAAACTAATGATAGTTTAAGTGTCTGATTAATGATTGCCTTTTAAGAATCTGGTTATAGAAATTATGATCTAGCCTTAGACTAAAAATAGCTAAGAGCATTATTATGATCTGGCCTTAGACTAAGAATAGCTAAGAGCATTGTTATAATCTCGCCTTAGATTAAGAATAATTTAAGAGCACTATTGAAATAGTATCTGAATTGAATAAAATGTATTGATATGAAATGAAAAATACCAAAACTGTGAATGTCTTAAATGAACATTGTGTGCATGATATCAAATGATTTGATTATGAATTTAGATTCAGTTTATATGGATGTTCGACGCATTAGATATGCTTACTCAGCTTTACCGCTGAGCGTGTAGTGTGTTTTATTTGCTACACGCAGGTAAGCAGAAAGTAGAATGTGATCCTGGCGGAAGATGGGGCGAGATTGTCGGGATGGACGTGACAAGTTTTGAAAATGTTAAATTCTAAAACTTTAATTATTGTGGTTACATTGCCCCACCACAATTTATTTATTCCGTATATATTATAAAAGAACATATTTGTAATTATACTTTATATATTACAAGATTATATTTTAAATATCAGACCTATCACATAATATGATCAAAATTAATTTTTTTATTTCATGATTGACATTGTATTTGCATTTTCACTCTTATTTTGGAAATAAAACATAAAACTCATATTTTGGTATATGTTTTATATTTTACTCCTAGTTTATTCTTTTTTTTTCTAAAACATTTTTACTCTTAAAAGTTTTATAAAAATCCGAGAAAAATCTCATATCCATTTAGAAGACCGTGAATCGTGAAAATAGTAAAATAAAAAAATAAAAAAAATGAAATAATTTATAAACTATTGTTATATGAACATAACAGTTGTAATCATAATGATGAAGATAATTCTAATAAAAATAATAATAATAATAATAACAATAGTACAATAACAATAACAATAATAATAATAATCACATTAAAAAAAGTAGAAGAACTAGAAAGAACTAGAAAAAAACAAAAAAAAAACTAGAAGTTAAGAGTTTAAACCATACTAAACAACCTCTTAGGTACTTCTTATCATTTTACTAATACAAAAAGAAACCATTAAACCATTTGATGAACAAAAAAAGAAAAACAAAAAAAAAGTAATCCTCGCTAGTCGCTAGGCCACTTCCCTTTTTGAGTCGTCTCATTCATTTCTCTCTATTTAAATATAGTAATTAGAGGTGTAAATAGATATTAATCAGATCAGATGTGTCGTTATCCAATACATATCCGTTTATTTTTGTCAGATATCGAATTCGGATACAGATCTTGACGTATACTGAAAATCAAAGCAAT